CAGGCAACAACAGACACAGCAACAGGCAACAACACAAGTAACAACAGACAACAGACAACAGACAACAATAGGCAACAACAACAGAGACACAAGAACGACGTGTCACAGCAGAGTCAGATTTCGTTGTGTTCTGTGACTGTAGCCCCGCCCCCATCATCATGGAGACTCACCTTTTGCGGACTGTGGTGGGGTTGATGAAGAAGGTCATGTGACTGTGTCGAGACGACCCAAACTGAGCTGCTGATGTTATGAAGGTTGGCTCCGCCTCTGAAGCACACTGCGTCGCACACAAGCAATAATCAATGAGTCTATAATTAAAAAACCTGTGACCAACAAGGAAAAGGTGTCCTGACTAAAGTCACCGTTAATCTGCAACACGCTATTGATTACATCAGCAACAACCAATAACAGATGTATTGATTACCGTCAGCGCTCCAGGTGTCAAGGCGCTCAGGTGTGTGGGAGGGGCTACAGGCAGGTGAGCGGGATCAGGTGTCGGTTCTACATCCTGGTCATCAGGAAGTACCGCCCCTCCAGTCCTCTCCTCCAATAGGCAGCTGTTGAGCTCCGCCCCTTCATACGTCATTGCTCCTGATAGGTCGACAAGCCTGCGCAGAGCCACCAATCAAAACCACAGACATGGGACATACACCTGTCTGTGTGCGTGAGTGTATAAAAGACTTACGCTCCGCTCACCACCAGGTGTTGGATGCAGCCTCTGAACCACCTGGATAAATGCTGCAGCCTGATTGGCAGACGGGAGTCCTCGCCTGATGGCAGCCCACCAATGAAGAAGGAGGCCGGAGACTGACGAGAAAATCCGCCCAGTGACAGGGAGACAGACTTCAGGTGGTCCTCGTCCACCTGCACGGACAGAGACCTGACAAACACACAGGTGGGACAGGTAAGACAGGTGAAAAATGTGACACAGGTGGGACAGGTGAGAGGGAAGACAGGTGGGACAGGTAGCACAGGGGAGACAGGTAAGACAGGCGGCTGTTGCCCAACACTTACTTTCTGCTGATAGTAACAATCACAGAGTGTTTCTTTCCGTCACTAAAGGATCTTCCATCAGGTTTCATCACAGTTACTCGCCGACTGGCTCCGCCCACCTCACCAAGCTCCGCCTCCAGCCCCCCTGATTCCAGGTGAACAGACAAGAAGTGCTGCACACACACAGACACACAGAATAATGCAGGTTATAGTGTCAGTCACACACCGTCATGCCTTGCGCTTGTGTCCATCTGGTGTTCAGGTGAGTCATGTGACCGCCGTTAGTCTCACCTGTCTGTGCATGCGGTCATCACTGAAGGCAGCCAGCAGGACTCCTGATTGGTTGTTGGAGGAGAAGGAGAAGAGAAGCTCCACCTCTTGACCGAACGATGGAGGAGCGATCTGAACGAAACCTCTGGCCAACAACGACACACTCCTCACCGCCTGGTCGATTAATCAGTCAGTCAGTCAGTCAATCAATCAATCAATCAATCAATCAGGAACCCAACACCAGGCTTTACTGGACTGAACTGGGACCGAACATCAGCATGCTGTATGTATATGTTAGTACATGTAGTACCTCGAGTACGCAGCCCTTCCGGACTCCGTATGCATCCCTCAGCAGGTCAAAGTTGGACCGAGCGATCTCCACATTCTTTATACAGCCCACATACGACCTGGACACCACCTGTCGCCTGGACATCAGAATGACAGACAGGTAAGGATACAGTCCTGCCTCCAGAACGATCAGGTGAGTCCGTGACATCACCTCATCCCACCCCTGGCGATGTCACGGACTCACCTGATCGGTCTGGAGGCAGGAAGTCCTCCAATGTAGATGGGGTCGAGATCGGAGCGGTTCAGGTCAGAGGCCGTTCCTGGAGACTCCGCCTCCAACACCTCCTTCTCTGATGATTGGTCAGCTGCCATGATGGACAGGTATGCTAGAAACACAGCAGCATGTCAGAAACGGTAGTCTAACAGGGAGCAGTAGCAGCGCAACCAGAGAGTAGCACCAGTCTAACAGTTACGCAGTAGTAATAGTAGTAGTAGTAGTAGTAGTAGTAGTACTAGTAGCAGTAGTAGTAGTAGTAGTAGAAGTAGAAGTAGTAGTAGTAGTGTGTAGTATCAGTAGTACCTTTGCGTTTGTTCCTCTGCAGCGTGATCTTGTACCAAACCCCGGTGTTGTACCTCCTGCTGGACGTCAGGATCAGAGCACCTGAGCCGAGGTCAAAGGTCAGACGGACACGCCCCCCCACCAGCTCCATGGACAGGAAGTCCCTCTGCAGGAGACACAACAACACAACACGTGTGTGTCGGCAGACTCTGCCTGTGTCGGACTGTGTGTGTGTGTGTGTGTGTGTGTGTGTGCGTGTGTGTGGTACCGTGTTGTTGGAGGCCAGGTACAGCAGCAATCCGCCCGGAGACAGAGTTTTAAACAGCAACACGATGGACGTGGACGTCGCTCGCAGAGACTTCTGGACCAATGAGAAGCCAGAGCCATCGAAGTGGAAGGACGTCTCCTCTGCTTGAGGACTGAGAAACAGACAGGTAAACACAGACAGACCGGTGGCGAGACTGTGTCACACCTGTGTGTCACACCTGCGACGGTACCTGCTGAAGCAGCCTCCACACTCTCCCTGTCTGCGGGCGTAGTTCCACAGGCCGATGTTCTTCTCGTTGAGTGAAGCTTCCCCCAGGCAGCCCTGGAAGCTGGAGGTCCGCAGCGCTGCAGGACTCTGACATCACACTCTGCGTTAGCACCTGTTCACCTGTGCAGCCCTGAACACACCTGTACACCTGAGCGTTACCTGCGTGTGAGCTCCCAGTCCTCCGATGTGGATCACGGCATTTCTGTCGATGTCTAAAACTCGGGATGATCCTGGCGATGTTGCCGTTACTGCGGGCAACGGCGCCGACTCAGAGTCCAGCTGATGGACCGACAGAGCGGCGTGGGCCCCAAACCTGCCGGCGTCATGACATCAGCACATGACATCAGAGCAGACTCATCAGTGCAGCCTGTATCACCTGCTGCTGCTGCTTCAGGCGCCTTGGGCTGCTGGACCTTCAGAGATCACATGACCAGCGTGTTCTTACCGTGTAGCGTTGATTCTTGTCCATCTGTTGTTGGTGATGTCCAGTCCAGGAAACTCCAGCCTGGTGCTGCCTGCTCCCACATCCCACAGCAGAGAAACCTTCCCATCATGCATCTCCACAGCCAAGAAGTCCACCTGCAACAAAGGCTTCACTCAGAGAGATGCTGCCTTCAGGGTCAAACAGTCCTGCTGGTTCCACACAGCCAGTCCTCCAGCCAACCCAGGCTTGTTTCAGCAGCTGGAAGTTTTCAGTTGTGTGTGTGTGTGTGTGTGTGTGTGTGTGTGTGTGTGTGTGTGTGTACCGTGGTGTTGCTGCCCAGGTAGAACAGCAGGTTGTCTGGACGTGTCGTCTTCAGGACCAGACTCAGAGTGTTGAAGTTACTCGACTGAATCTGTGGTCTGTAGGAGCGAAGGCAGTCTCTGTCCGCCTGCACCGCCACCTTTATCTGATCACATCATCAACGGACAGACAGACAGACAGACAGGTGATGTCACGGCGACCCATCAGTGTGTATCTCAGGTTGTGTGTCTGTGTGTGTTTATGTACCGACGCCGCCTGCCTGCGGGCCTGATCGATCAGCTCTCTGATGTCAGACAGGTTCCTGCTCAGTGTCTCTCCCAGGATGCTCAGCGGCTTGATTCTGTCCATCAGACGCTGAGCCCGATGCTCCGCCTCCTCCAGCTTCCGCTGTGCGTCATTGGCTGAGGAAACAGGAAGTGTCAGTCCTCGGCGAGCGTATGTTTGCGTGTTGTTTGTTCACGACATGCTGACTGACCTGAAGTGTGTGTGTGCGTCACCAGCCGGTTGGTCTCCCTCACGGTGTTGTTGGTGTTTTCTACTGCAGACGAAGAGTCCTGCAGCTGCTCTCTGAGTCTCTTCAGCCGCTGCAGCGCCTCCTGCAGGCCGGACTGAGCCACTGCAGTCTGAACCTGAGCCTGTTGCAGCGGCACAGACCAACCTGATGCACACAGTCAGTGTCAGTAGATCAGAGTAGTGCCTCAGTGCTGTGGACAACAGCAGTGAGAAACCCACTGTAGCACCACTTCATGTCACATGATTCCCCTCACAGTAATCAGATTACTTCTAAGTAGAACAGCAGCATATTTGTTCTGTTGTCAAATTAACAACTGCCAGTTTAGATTTCCTATAATAACAAATTCATTGAGAACATTCTGGTTCCACTTGGTTCTGGTGTAGAAGTTCTTGATGATGTTGTTCTCTGGATGTTCTCCTGCTGGAATGTTCCTCTTCTTCATCTGGTCAGCCAGTATCCTGGTTCATCCTCAGACATTCATGGAGCTTCTAGAAAC